TATATATTCAGTTTTCTTTAATCTTTAGTCAAACATTGTTTTTCCCCGTGCCATGTCCCATTGACTTTGTGTTGTTTAAGTTGTTGCCTCCCCTGTTTTATATTGTAGTATTTTTTAATGCTTTAATTCAAAATCCTCGTGGTAGTCCACCACAACAGTTTTTTACAAGATTGAATTTCKTGGAATATGTGAGATAAGAAATCTAATTTGTCCAATCTTCCCACTAAAATCAGTGTGAGTCAATGTCCTGAGGTTTTATACAAAAGTGGTAAAAAGTCAATTTCACTAAACTAAGAATAGTTTAGCGTGTGCTCCTTTTCCGTCAGCCGTGCTGTGACCCAGCTGAAATGGATGACGAGTGGTGAGGGTGGAGTTTCCTTGTTAAAAGAAGGAAAAAGCGTTTGCTGTCRGGAAGAAGAATCACTCTGAATCAGATACTGCCTGTCAGAGCAATACAAGTTAATTACACACAACAAAATGTGATTCAGAGAAATAAAAATACCAGAATCCTCTATTAGTTACCACAGAACTTCCTGTAATTAATTGAATTCAAAACTTTCACAGACTTTTTTCATTGTCTGTGAACCTTGGCCTCAAAAAACTTTGTTTTGTTTGCATCAGCCATATGGTCAACTCAGTAAATTGCTTTGTTTTGGGCAGATTAAAGAACAAATAAATCATTGCAACTTTTGATCACAACTTTCTGAAAGAAATCGATGCAACATCCTGGAGAGACTGAATAATGCAGTCAAAGCAAAAAATGTGTGGTAAATAAAGTGATGATGAATCAACTAAAATATTACTTGTTTTTTTTTTCTTGCTTTGGCGCACAAATAAAAGAATCGTATCCAAGGAGCAAAAATATCCCTAAAAATCCTAAAATTGATGCTTTCAAATCTATTGTATATATTCTGACTTATCTTGAAAATAGATTTAAGAAAAGAGTATGAGCTTTTATAGTAAGTAATAGCTTTATGGAAGAGTAAGTTTGAATTGACTGTAGTTCCTGAGTTCATTTATTAATATTGTTATTGCCTGAAAATCAAAGGTGATAAAGTTTTTGGCTATTTCAGTGTTTTTGTGTGTTCTTTTGCCTGTAGAGTTACCAAATTATCTCATGAACCAGTGAACATGTTTTTATGAACCTCTCTGAGAATAATTGCAGGATATTGTTTTAGGTTAATCCAATTCTAGATGGCCGCCACAATCTTAGCAAACACATTGTTTACAACTTAGTCAATTTGACCATTAATAAGTTAAATTTAATGTGACTGCAACTGCATCATTCTTAACACATACTTTGATATCTACACATTCTGCAACATATTTGCTTGAAACTTTGGTATTTATGTATTAAGTATTGACCTTGTCTGTCTGTTAGTAAAATATTTCGTAAACCACCGGACATTTTAAGGCGCAACTCTCAGACAGTAATGACTGGTTGTACGTCTTGATTAACTTTTTAATTTGATCCAATTCAAGATGTCGGCCACATATAATCAGCCTTGGCCAACATGAAAATGACTAGATACCAGTCAGTTTTTCAGATCTTGAGCTATTTGGTGTGGTTGTAACTTAAAGTGACCATCAACACACTTTTCAAGAGCTACTGTAGATCGCACATGATGTAATTTAAGGTTTGACCGAAAACTAATTTCTCATCATAATGTGATCTTGGTTTAAAACTCTGGCATGAAAGGCTGCAGGCAGTGTGTATTCTTTTAAGAAATGCTAATTATCATTATTTTTCATGCCTATTTAATTA